TCCTCTTCGGCTTCCCAAGTAGCTTCCTCAACAAATTGGTTCCTCCAAAGGACCTTGACTGAGGCTACCTCTTTCGTTCTCAACCTACTAACTTATCTAAAATCTGAATCGAAATCTCCTCATAAGATAAGCTATCATTGATCCTAATACTTTTAGTTGGTAGGATCAATGAAGGATCGCCTATGCACTTCTTCAACATAGAGATATGAAATACCAAAGGGCCTAACTCACTCATACGAACTCGGAATCGAGCAAACTCGGCGGCGTTGGAAAGATCATTCAAAAACTCTTTTTTTTCCCATACTTAACCAAATTTCCAGATTTTGAATTCTTTCCAAAAATGACTATTTCAAATTTCCAACTTCTTCATAGTTATTTCAACTTACACGATGTTACACATTTGTAGTCCTTTTATGAGGTAAATACCCAACAAAGACACATTGTAATGCACATGGATCAAGCTTAGTACGTTTGTGTTTGGGGAGATGAACAAAAACAACACAACCAAAAGTTTGAGGTTCCAAGTTTAAGGTAGATGAGAGGTTAACAGAACTGGAGAGGTGATTTAAGGGAGTCTTAAAATGAAGAACACTACTAGGTACACAATTTATGAAATAAACAGCATACAAAATAGTATCCACCCAAGATGCGGGTTGCATATGAGAACTAATCAAACAAGCACAAGTAATTTCCAATAAATGACGATTTTTTCTCTCTGCTATGCCATTTTGCTGAGTTGTGAAAGAGCATGTAGTTTCATGAATAATGCCATAATTTTGGAGATAAGACTGCAACACTTGATTAACAAATTCTCCACCGTTATCAGACCTAAGAACTTTATTTTAGCTGAAAATTAAGTTCGAATCATCATATGAATGAGCGGAAGCATTCTGAAACATCACTTTTATTCTTCATTAGATAAATCCATGTCATACGACTGAAATCATCAACAAATATAACAAACCAATGATATCCAGATGAACTAGAAACTGGAGAAGAACCCCACACATCAGAGTGAATCAATGCAAACGGCTCAGTCACCTTACTAGTACTTGAAGGATAAATAGTACGATGAATTTTAGCTAAAACGCAAACATCACAATGAAAATTAGAGAAATCACACTCAAAGAACAAAGTTGGGAATAAGTGTTTAATGTAGCCAAAAGAAGCATGACCAAATCTTCGATGCCACATCCATATTTGGTGTTGTTTAGCAGAATAGGAACCTTGATTTGTTAGAGAAATACCATGGCATACATCATCCACATAATAAAAAAAAACCATCTTTTAGTACCACGCCCAATAATCTCCTTGTTGTTGAGGTCCTGAAAGATGCAGAAATGAGGATACATTAATACTAGACAATTTAATTGTTGAGTTACTTGAGACACAGATAAAAGATTATTGGATAGTGAAGGAACAAATAATGTTTTCTCTAGAGACAAGGAAGAAGTCAAAACCATAGTTCCAGCACTAGTAACTGGAGATGATACACCATTTGCGTTGGACACATGGGAACGGTGTGGTTTATTAGGAGCCTGTAGAAGTGACTGGTCAAACGTCATATGATCACTGGCTCCAGAGTCAATAACCCATCCAGTGTCTTTATTAGAATCCATATTAATGAGATTGGATCCAATATTACATGATGAGTGTCTATGTATAGCTAAATCAGAATCACTACGTTCAGTTGAAACAAAAGTTGTTCCAACAATTGGCAGTGATGTGCTAGATGAAACCATAACAACAACTTTCCCATCATATTTATCACCATCCTTTCGATTTCGCCATTCCCTGGACTTCTTTTCATTTAAACCATCCCACCAGTCTGGATATCCATGCAACTTAAAATAATTTTCAACTGCATGTTTGGGATTACAGCAATAAGTACAACCCTTCTCACCATTGCTACGAGCTTTTAAATGGTAATGGTTCTGGATAAAAGAAGCTTTTGCTGCCATAGCCATGCTGGAATCTGTATTATTATTTAACATTGTGTTCCTCCATTGTTCTTCACTTCGAACCATAGCAAAAGCAGATTCTGGATTGGAAAAAGGATTTGTGCGAAGAATATCACTTCGTACTCGATCATAAATATCATCCACACCAGCCAGGAAGATATACACACGTTATTCTTCAATTTCCTTCCATCGGGCCTGGACAACATCAGGTTGAGTGTGAGATGGGTTTACGATAATCTAGTTCCTGTCATATTTTGCGTAAATCTGCAAAGTATGTAGAGATTGTTTTCCCCTCTTGTTTCATACGCATTTCTTGAAAAGAGAGATCATAAATTACTGATCTATCAGCCCCTTCATAGTATGTTTGAGACACGGTGTCCCAAACACTCTGGGCTGTTGGAAGATGAACAAATAAGCTCATAATGTCGAGTTCCATGGCACTGACGAGCCAACTTTTAACAATAGCATTAACCATACTCCACTTTTCATAAGTGACATCACTAGCAAGAGGCTCTTTAAGTGTTCCCGGCAAATATCCCATTTTTCCACGACTTGCAACAGAAATCTCAACAACTTGAAACCAAAGAGAATAGTTCTTGCCATTGAGTTTTACACCGAAAGGAATGTCTATAGGTTCTAGAACAGTATTTATATTTTTAGAGGATTCAC